GCCCGCGGCGGGGCTGAGCCGCCGGGTGCAGCGGGCTCTCCGGGCTCAGGCAGGGCTTTGCTGAGCTCAGGGCCCGGGATTTCAACCGGGTTTCCTCTGTCAGGTCGATATGGAGCCGAGGCCGGAGGTCAGAGCGGGAGAGACCCCTGAAATGCAGAGGTCAGCTCCGCAGGGGTCGGTGGCCTCCTGCCCTGTGAAGGGACAGGCAGGCCGTGGGTGGATGCTCCCAGCCAGGAGGCAGCGCTGACAGTCGTGGCTGCTTTATGGCCTTGCTGCAAGCAGGGGCCTGGCGGGATGTATCTGTGATATTCCCTTGCATTTCCACGTAGGACCTGCTCGCTGGCATGAAAACTACCCGTTTGCCAAAGGAGACAAGCAGTCGCCCATTGAAATCAATAGCAAGGAAGTGCGGCATGACTCGTCTCTTCCACCCTGGCATGCTAGTTATGATCCTGGTGCAGCTAAAACTATCCTGAACAACGGACGGACCTGCAGAGTTGTCTTTGATGACAGTTTTGATAGATCAGGTCAGTTTTTGTTTTGCTTTCGGGGAGTTTTTAGGATTAAAGGTTTGCTTGAAACCAAAACACATCCTGTAATTACTAGCCTACACAGGCTAGCAGAGAAAGACTGTTTAGGTATGGAAAAAGAAGTGGTCCAGGAGTTTCTTTTGGTGTATCCTGCCATTTTTAGATTCACCATGTGTGGGGCAGGGAGGCTGTAGCTGCAGGAACTGCTGTCAGATGCAGATTCAACTGGGAGAGGAGGCTGTTAATAGCAGATGAGCAGTATCCTTAACTCTGGGTTGGAAGGGGTTTCTCTTCCTCAGGTAACCGCCTTCAGAACGGACACAAAATCCCTAGGCTTTGTGCAAGATGAGAGGATTTCATCTGGAAGGGTTTAATATGCTTGCTCTGTTAGACACTGTGTAAGCACAAAACTCATATATTTCCGCTGACTTTGCTCATGGTTTCTTCTATTCTCAACAGTCAAGTTGATGATTACTTTGTTTGGCCATATGGCTGTTTCAGACCTGGAGATTTGCAACGGGACATTCTAGTGTATTTGAGTCCATGGTAACTTTCTCCAGGGGAGGTGTTGCACCCGCATGCAAGTTTTATCTTAGATATTACAGGGAAACGTCTACATGTTTGTCTTGATGTTTAGCTCCTTCTGGCTGTTTTTTCTAGTTCTGCAAGCATCTCTACTACTTATTTTATCACAGGAACATTAAATCACAAAAATCAGCCTTTGAACCTGGAACTTACTTCTGACAAAATCTCCTAAATCCTGTTGATGTGAGCAGTTACACAAACTTGAGGATTTACTGATTGTTCCAGGCAGGAGAAATTAATGATGTAGTCAAATCACCACTGCAGCTATAATTAACCTTAAGAATCTGCAAAGACCTATTTCCAATCTGCAAAGACCTATTTCCATCAATGCAGAAGGAAGCAACCAACTAAAAAGAACTGTTTGCAGCTCCTCTTACTTATAGGGGCCTTTTCTTGGCTTTTCCTGATGGTCATAGTTACCATGCTTGTTCAAACAGTGCTAGGCTTTTCTCTGTTTTTAAGCTGTCGCTAATTTTCATGATACAAATGCGTTCCCCCTCTCCGCATACCTACAGGCTACCTCTTCCTAAAGCAATGCTAAATCAAAAAACTTGAACCCTTTAGAAGGGTCCTTTAGAAGCCTGTTTTTCAGTTTCAGCTATTTCAATTCCTAAAGAAACTCTATACACTTGCAGCTATTTCAAATGCAGTGACTGTGCCCAACATCCAGTAAAGCCTAATATTAAATATGCCTGTGTACTATATAGTATGGTATTCTTATAACATATATACTATGTGAGCTATAACAATATCATCTGAAAATATAAATAGCCATATTATTTTTGATAGAACAAAGCAGCTACACAGAGCCCAAGCAAAATGCTGTAGACATATGGAGTTTTTAACTGAGTATAATCCACAGACCTAGACCTAAAGATACGAAAGGAAGTAATTGAAAGCAATCACATAAAAATCCATAGTGTTAGTCATCAGTCTTGTTTACTCTCCTACAAAGTACTACAAAAGCGTTACATCTATGTTCAGTGGGCTGCTTGCAGACGACGTAATTTAATGATTGTAGCAAACATCTATTTTGAAGGGCATTTCCAATACTGTCCAATAAGTGCTAGAAGCATTTAGATTATTTTGACTTAAACTCTGACATTTTATAATGATTCTTTTCCCCTCTACTTTGTAGAATTCAGTTATGAAAAGCTACGAAATGGTTTTGCTATTTTGGATCAGTCTTGCATCTCTAAGTCAAATTGTTCAAAACTTGGTTCCAGTGCTACATCAGTGCATAATTCTGAGTGCAGATGAGCAACATCAGCCTAAATGAAAAAGTAAATTCACAGTACCATATAATGTGAAGACATCTCAAGAGCACACACTATTGATCAGTCCTTTAGCAAGAAAGAAAGCAATCTAATCCATGGAAAACAGAGTTACTTTCCATTGTATTTTTCTGCCTGAGGTTTGCTGGCACTTGTGTTGGAGTTCTATTTTTAGTAAGCTATATAATTAGTGATGTATCTGCAGTATATTCCAAGATCGCTATAGTTTATCCTGATGAGCTCATTGTTTCCTTGGACTCCTCCGTTTACCGTTTCAGCTACCTGTTTTTGTTCCACATTGTGAAGACAGAATGCAAACTAAACTATTTGGGACAGGGACCATCTCATTGTTACGTATTTGTATGGTGCTTTAATGTCTATGACTGCAGTCTCTACACAGTGGCCTCAGACAATAATAAATAATAATAAATGACACTTTTAAAAAAAAAACATGGAATGCTCCACCACAAGCACTGCATGAAATCTATGCCATATACTTTATTCAAAAGTGTAGAAAAGAAAACAGTTCTTTCATATTAGCCACTCACTAGGCATTTAATTCTGAAGTCAGAAGAAGTGTCTACCTGAAAAAAGCCTGGATGCTCTCAGATCATCGCAAATAGTTTGCATCTCTTCACGCATCTATGTTTGCACAAGTTTGGATGTGGTTACTGTTGTGTTACATTAACAGTGGGAAATATCTGATGTTTTTAGTATTTAAATTTTCCTGGTTCACCGTAGGCATTGACCTTAACGTATGTTCAGAAAAGGTTTCCGTACCACATGTATCATAACATATATAATTTTCAAGTAAAAATTATGAGTGAAGGTTGTTTTCTTTTCCCCACAAGATAGTACCACATTTGCATCACAGAGTACTCAAAGCCACAAACTGCAGCTTTTTTCCATTCTGCTGGTGTTTCAAGCCTATGAAACCGTGTCACAGCTCTTTCTATTTATAGAAATTCCTGAATGTGTGCAAGAGTAGGAAGGAGATCAATGCATTTCAAGCCAATACAAACGTCAAAAACGTGATGAAGCAAAGTGATTATGAACCTTCTCACATGACAATTCTGCTCTGTCATCTTTACAGCTTCCTAAAGGCTGAGACTTTTAGACAGAGGCTGCTCAAGGGAATACTGTTGGAGAAAGACCCTGATTTTGCCAAGCTTGGTGCTGCCTTTTCTGTAAATCATCTTCCCTCCATTCCCTGTACTCCCTACCACCCCATCTGCTCCTGTTACTAACTTTCTGCAGGCTGCTGGATAGAAGTTTAGGGCTGAAACCTTCCATAGAAATGTGTCTCTTTGGAGTTAGCTCCTGATTACAATGTTTAATATTTCTGAAGAACTGCATGAGACAGCATTTCACACACGTTCTATTGCGTCTCTTTATTGGCTTCTGTGATGACAGCAGCTGAGGCTGAGTACTAGTCACAGGTCTGATTTTAGTTGGGAAAAGAAATCTAGCTTAAACATAGCCTTTTATTTTGATCTAACTACATGGAAAATTGTGAGTGTTAAAAACTGGATTATTTTTTATACTGGAGAGATCTGCAGACCATCAAGAAGTGCTGTTTCTAAAGATTAGCTTGTATTTGAGCTTTGGAAAGGGCCATCAGTAAGAAATCATTGCTAAAACAATTTCCAACTCCGATATTGATTTGTTTTGTAAATAGGTATATCAGATGAATTCAGCTCTTGAAAGAAGCTTCCAGCTTCCCATTGAATCCAGCGTGAGATGGCCAGCAAATACTTCTGAAAATTTGGGCCTTAGCATAGTCTATGCCTTATTTTTTCCTCAACTGAAAGTGAAACAAGGAGGATGATGATAATGATGTGACATACTTCATATCTTCCATAGAAGGCTTTCCATAATATCAAGTTTGTTATATTTATTTATGTATTAACAAACTAGAGAAACTGCATGCCCAAAACGCATCAGTGCTCTGTTTCAGCCCCCCAATGGCTGTGACATGTGCCAACTAGAAAGAGAAACTGCAAAGTTAAGCCTTTTGTTCCATGCCTAGCATATCATTTATCTGTAAGTATTCCAACACGTCTGATATCAAGAATTAATTTGAGACTATTGGGCACAAAAGCATTTAAGTATAGTTTTATTGTTAACTTTGAAATTCCAAGCTATTGCTAGAAGTTGAAATTCAAATTTCGTTTTAACAAAGTCTCCTGGGGCTGCAGTTGTGAACTGGGTTATCAGCTTTCTGCATAAGGAAACTCATTTCGTTCCTGCTTAGGTAATAAATGAAAAGTATATTTGAGAGGTTATCCTCTCTGCAGACTCTGTTCAAAAGAATCCCAAAAGTGGAAAAAGCAGATGAGATAATTAGAAAGTCACAGTAGAGGTAAACCATTAGACCTATGTGTGGTCAGCACTACTTGGCTGAGAACATCAAATAGTAGCTTCTTAATTTATGCCTTGCTGGCAGCAGTGTTCAGTGTGGCCTGCAACTTTTGCCTACACTTTCCTAACTCATTTGTTTTCAACTTCCTTCTCTTCCCTCACTTCAGGAAATAGATCTTTTATTTTTAGAAGGAGCAGACTATGCTGTAAACATGTCTGAACTTTAAAAGGTACACTATTCATGGAATATAGGTACATTTCAAGGCACTGCAGTGCACGACACTTTTGGGTTAATTTCAGAGCCCTAATCCCAAACACTTCACCAAAGAACATTTCCTTGAAAAGGAGAAGCTGCTAATAGATTCCTTCTCTCCCCTATCAGGAACTCTAATGCCTCTTGCTAGAGGAAAGGGGCTTGTGTGCCAATTGGCGTTTCATTCTGTGCTTGAGTCACAGCCTGTTTTACAGTTTTGAAAGTGAATAGTACTGTCCTGAGCAATAATGGCATTCAGGCCCAGTCTTGTAAAGTGGTGAGTGTTGTCACTCCCACTGCAATCAGCTGGATTTACAAGAGGTGCTCCACACTTTTGAAGTATGGATCCCTATTCAGTAAATGTGTGTCACCATTTTGTAGGCTAGTGTTGATGTAGATTATCAATTGCAGTGCTGAGAGGTGGGCCACTCTCAGGAGCCTACAGGCTGCGTCAGCTTCACTTGCACTGGGGTTCCTCTGATGACCATGGCTCAGAACATGTTATAGATGGGGTGAAATATGCAGCAGAGGTAGGACTTGTTTTTGATAGTACTATGTGGTACTAACTGGTATTTAACTGATTGTGCGTCTGAACAAATTAACTATTCTCCCTTTGCAAGTATTTATTTGTTTTGTTTTTTCTAAATTCCATGGTAAAACTTGTGAATATTCATCAGTGCGCACTGGGATAAATTGTATCTGCCAACAAGCTTGCCTTTGCAAACATATACTAACATGGAATTTGCTTCTTTGAGCAAGACTTTTTGCTGTTTTCTGGAGTGTTTTAAAAATATTTGTGACAAAATGATCTGTTATTTCCAAATAGGGAGCTGTGTTTTTTGCTGTTTTTTTGGCTACTAGCAGTTTCTGGTATGGCTTGAATTACTAAGTTAGTTTCAGGAAGCGTTACTGATGAAGAGAAACTTGCTAAAAAGCACATTTCAGTAAGCTATTCAAAATTAGATCTGCTTTAAAATTCAGAGTGGTAAGGAGTATCTTCTAGTTTCTAAGCATCTGTGCTTTCAAATCTCTGTATTTATTTTCAGGAACTGTGGTTAAACAGATATTTTATGTTTTTGGATGCAAACTACTGGACTGTTGTCCAAAATTACTAAAATTAATGGCTGGTTTGGGCCTTGAAGACGACTTTGGGCAACAAATATGAGTGAATTCACTAGTGATGAAAGTGAATTACTAATAAATGTTACCTCCTTCCCCCATATTATCTGAAAATACGCTCAAAATACATACCTCTGTCCGTGAAAAGTCTGCAGCAGTGTTTTCCTATTATACAATCACCTGTAGTGTCTATGTGCAGAGCTTACAGGGACTCTGCCCACCTCTCATAGGGAAAAATGTTGGCAGATATTTTGCAGGGTCTGTGGACACAAATGTTGCGGAGATAACTGTGGGTGATGCTTTTGTTTTTTTTCTGTGTGTCTTAGCCACAGCCAAACTGCATTAATATTTTACTTTCTCTTGCTGACTGAATGGACAAATTCTGCTTCCTCAAGCTATTTCTTAGTTACTTCAAGCAGAGAGTATTTACTTTGCTTTTGTTTGCAGTACTCTGGCATTTATAGACAAGAGGAAGAATCCCTGGAATGTATGAAACTGCTAGAACACAACCAAAGCTGTATGGCTACCGTACCTTTATCCTTGAAAATGATACTTTTATCTGCAACAGAAAAGAAACAGAGCAACAATTAGTTAACATTCGGGGAAAATTATTTTGTTGTTATTTTAAGTAATTGTGACTATTTCAAAAAAAAAAATTAAAAATTTGCCTTTAGACTCCTATTGTATGGCATTATATTCCAGACACTACTTATGCTGAGATTCCACGCAGCTGGTTGCAGCTATGTACAGGAGCAAGAGATTTCCTGGAAGGAGATGTAAAAACTTGAAATACTTCCTGAAAGTACAGCATTGTTAAACGTAGAAATGAGAAAGATATACCAGGTTGCTGCTTCTACTCCTTCCAGTGCAATGTGCAAAGAGTAGTTAGAAATGCAAAACGATACCATATGCACTGCATACAAGCCAGTGTAAATCCTTGAGCTTATATCTGCATAACCTGATAATCTAAGAATCTACTTGCGATGAAGTGCATGTCAGTAGGTATTCCTGCATTGCATGTGTGCATGTCACACGCATGGGTTAAACTGTTCACAGTTGAATTGTCTGATTAATTTTTAAAACTGGTAAATTCAATTTTCCATCTTTTATGTTTCAATTGAATACGAAGTGATGCTCGTAGAAAATATTGAGGACGTGGAAGCATGGGAACAGGAATAAGAAACATTTATGATTGTTTCCTTGTTCATATCCTTTTCTTTACTTACTGTGTACTGAAAACTTTTCTCAATATAATGTAACGGTTTGTAAGATTGGGCTGTTGGCAATTTCTTACATTTACAACTGAGCTTTTATTGCTTTTTAGTTACATATGGTGCACTGGAACCCAAAACATGGTAACTTTGTAGGAGCTTTGAAACAACCTGATGGTGTGGCTGTTGTGGGCATTTTTCTGAAAGTAAGTGACAAGTATTTGGTCTTTGTATATTTTTCTATACTCTTCATCTTTTTCTAGTTTGGGGGAAAATGTTTCCATTGTTCTTCCCAGCACTGTATTGTTTTACAGCAAAACATTCAACAGCGCTTCTGTCTGTGTGCTGACAGAAGTCACGCATGTCCTTTGGGCCCTCCAGATTCCATGCACCTCAGATTCCATTCAGAGTAGACTTCTGACACTGTTCATAACAGTGGCACATTTCATGGGTGGTATTGAACAAGAGGCGCACAGTGTTAAGCCTGAGGCAGTTGCTTACTTTGTCACTGATAGTTTAGCAACTCTGCAATGTGATGTGAACTGAGCATGGGGGCAGGGGCAGAGAGTCTACGTAGGAAGAGTGTTTCTTCCTGCCTTTTGTCTGCTAACAGCTGTTGTATCTACTTGTCAGCAAGGTTACCTTGGGTGATTCACTTACTTGGGTTTTGGCTGATCCCCACATGAGCTGGGAATGAAAAGGAATTCAAGGAACTGCTCCAAAGAAACAGAGTACCTCAAAGAACTGATTGTAAAAGGAGTTCACTGAAAAAATGAAAATCTCGAAATACAGCAGGTTAATTAAAATTAAAAAATACAGATATTTTACAACTGATTTTTTTTAATATAACAGAAGGAAAGCAATCCTAGCATCAAATCTGAAAATTGTTAAGGACATGAGAAAACATTAACAGACAGACAACCTAATAGGGATAAATTAGCCAGATTTCAGCTCTGTAGCTTTAGAGAAATCAGGTCTCATTGTACCTGCAGGTGGGAACTTCAGCCTGAACACAATGTTGGAATCAGTGTCAGGGAATAGCCCTCCTTTTATTGTTTAATCACTAGTAAGTTGCATTTGTACAAATATAGCAAGTGGATGTAATTAATTTTGCCACCCTGTCCCTGGACACACACTACAGCCAGTGCTTTTTTAATTCTGTTACACTGTGATTAGCTGAACCAGCCTGTCCTTTTTTATGTATGTGGTTACTTTAGACTGATAGAAGTCAAAAGTTCAGCACTTGTACATATTCTCACCTATGCCTATATCGTTTGATTATTCTTCCTTTGTTGTCTCTTTTGATCTATTTTAGGCTAAAGCCTTACCTTATAAAATACAACTTAGAAAGTATAAAATTGTGTTTCTATTAACCATGCTAAGGCCAGCTAAAATGTCCACAAAAGTAAGTGGTATCACTACATCTTCTCTGGCCTTCTTTTCCCATTTCCTCCTTCCTATTTGGACTAGGAGCAGTTTTACTCTGTTTTTGTTGTGTTCCATGACTGGTTTTGTATTGCGGGGACAGACATTGAATTCTCTACTCAAGAATTTAATGTGTTATGTAACAAGACACAGCAACAAAAGCACGTCTTATACATGCTGTGTTTACTCTTCTTGGATGCAGAGCCATGTCAAAGCTTTTGGAGACATTCAGTGTTGTGAACAGAAGTAGAAAGTGACCTTGTACCATGAGGGGGCCCTGACAGGAATCTCATCATATGTTTTATATTGAGTCTGGTCTGATTGTGTATGTTCTGCAGAATGTTCTAAGTATCTGCAGGAACTCCAGCTCTTCAGACTATCCCTAACTACTCGGTTGTGTTGAGTAACTATACGTGATGCAGTGGTTGTGGACTGTTTTCAAACCAGGAGCCTGGGGCTAAGCCCTGTGTGGTCTAAATGACACTGCCTGGGTAGGCAGTTTGTTGCTCAGACAGTGGGAGATGCCTTACAGAGTCTTTCAGTACATTTCTGAATTACAAAAACCAGTTACTTGAGTCTGTTATTTAGCATGGCCTTTTAGCAGACATCATTTTGTGCCAGTCTTTACAAGATGTTCTGAGAATACTGCTGCCTAACTTGACAGATGGGATATACTGAATTCATTTTTCATACTGTGGAACATGGTGAAAAAATGCAGTACTTGTACTCTGCGTTACAGGTTGGAAGCACTCCCAAACCAGAGATGAAGAGAATTCTTGAAGAAATTGATAACATTAAGACCAAGGTATCAGAATGCTTTTTTATGATGTCATATAGTTGAAAGCAACAGAAACAGAAATCAGAAGTTCAAAGTCACTCATCTTGATACTGTTCGGGTACCTAAGAGTAGCACCAGAGGATACAGTGAATTGTGGAGCAGGATTGTTTCTTTTATTTAAGTAAACATATAACTTCTCACTTCTGGAAGTATGCTGTAGTTGTAGCACACCAGCCCTTACTTTTATTCCACGTGACCCAAAAGTAAAAGAAAATGTTGATAATCCCTTATGAATTTTTGAAGGCATGGGAAACAGAAGAATGTAACAGTGAATTTGCTTTGTCCTGCATAATTCATTTTGTAGTTTCTTTTTATATGTTGATGGAATCAGTGTCAGTTATTACAGGGCAGATGCCTGATAGGAAGAAAAGAAGTTGAGCTCTTGGTCTTGATATTTAATTACTTCCTCTATAATAACATAGATACTGATATCTTTTAAGATGGCTGTCCTTAGATTTACTGCAGAGATTTATTTTGTCTTTATTTAAGGGGAAAGAGGCTCCTTTTCAGCACTTTGATCCATCAATTCTTTTTCCCAAATCTCGAGACTACTGGACCTACCATGGCTCATTCACTACACCCCCTTGTGAGGAGTGCATCACTTGGATTCTCTTGAGGGAGCCCATTGAAGTCAGCCCAGACCAGGTAAACTCCGACTAGTTCTGCTACTCCTTTTTCCTGTTCCTTTTCTCAGTGGTCTCTCACTGTGATTGTGTGATAATTTGCCAGCTGTATGTTACCTTACAGAAGAGGTGTGTAGGATGATGATGGTCCTATGGTGACTTACAATTTTAGAATCCTGCTAATGCTGCAGGCTTGCTGATAGTAGTTGTTCTGAGCACCCATCCTTTTTGCAGATTGCAGCCCGTTTGCAGCCATATGGTGGCATACCGGCCTCAGGAGTTGGTATGGCACTATACTGTTGTAGGAAGACTGAATTCACCTAGAAGTTATTGTGAGAGTCTCTTTCTATTGAAAATATAAGTAACAGAACCTTTAAAACATTCTCATTGCCTCCCATGGATGCAACATGCTCTATACTCTACTATGTTCTGAATACAACGTGCTGTTAATCTGACATTTCAGATTGTTAATCCAGTTGATGAACTTCTGCAGACTAGCTGTTCCTATTAGACTGCTTTGTGCACACTTAAACTTGCTTCCACCTTCATGGATGAACATATTTCCACAAGTGATCTAATTGAAATTCATCTGGGTCAAAAAAGAGGCGCTTACCTTTTTTCTACACTGAGTCTGGCTCAACAGAAAATCCAGAAAAGTCTAGGCAAGGGTCAGATGATCTTCTGTTCTGTGGATGAAGGCTGTAAAGATCCACAGAAACTGTGCTAGACACTGGGCTGCAGTGACCTCTACCAGTCATGCTTATCATTGTGTAAGAAAATTCCTCTTTTCTTCCCTAGTTTGTTCCAGGCATAAGGGTCCACATTGCTTTCAGATTAATTCCTGC